GTGTGCGGCGAAAGTGTGTACTGATGACCACGTCGCCGCCCTGCAGATTTCCTGGGTGGGGACTTGAGCCAGGGAAGCTGTTGATGAAGCTTGCGCCTTGTAGAGTGCGCCGGTTATGGGGGGGGGGGCGGCGCTGTAATTCCTGCTAGACTGCAGCACTCGGTAATGCAGGCCACAATCCATGATGAAATGCACTGTGTCAAAACAGGCTGACCCTTCATCCTATCCGCTACTGTGACAAAGAGCTGTACCGACTTCCTGAATGGTTTTGTCCTCTCGATGTAAAAGGCCAGCGCTCTGCGGACATCAAGAGTGTGTAGCCACTGCTCCCTGCTACTCACATGAGGCTTGGGGTAGAAAACCGGGAGGAAAATGTCCTGGTTGATGTGGAACTGCGATACTACCTTCGGGAGGAAGGCCGGATGGGCCTAAGCTGAACCTTGTCCTTAAAAATCCATGATGTGGGGCGGCTTGGACATTAGAGCCCTAAGCTCAGACACCCTCCAGGCTGACGTTATCGCCACCAGGAACGCAACCTTGTAGGAAAGGTAGAGCAGGGAGCATGTTGCTAGAGGCACAAAGGGGTGCCCCATGAGCCTAGAGAGGACCAAGTTAAGGTCCCAAACAGGAACCAGTTGGCGGCTGTGCAGGTACAACCTGTCGAGGCCCTTCAGGAAGCGACCAACCAGGGGGTTAGTGAAAACCGATCGGCCCTATACCCCCGGATGGAAAGCCGAGATGGCAGCCAGGTGTACTCTTATAGAAGACAAAGAGACCTTCCTGCTTTAGGTGGAAAAGGTAATCCAAGATCTGGGGCACTGAGGCCAGCACCGGGAGAAAGTCGCGCTGAGCTGACCAGATTGAAAAATCTCTTCCACTTGGCCAGGTACGTGGCCCTAGTGGAGGGTTTCCTACTGCCTAAGACAGCCTGTCTGACTTGTTCTGAACGGGAGAGCTCGAACAGATTCAGCCATGGAGCCTCCATGCTGTGAGATGCAGCGACTGGAGGTTCGGGTGCTGGAGCCGTGATCCTGTGTGAGAAGGTCTGGGAAGAGCGGCAAGGTAATCAGGGCTCCCACGGACATGTCTAGGAGAGACATGTACCAATGCTGGCGGGGCCAGGTTGGTGCTAGGAGAATGACCCGAGCCCGGTCTCTGCGGATCTTGAGCAGGACCTTGTGGACGAGCGCTATGGGTGGGAAGGTGTACAGAAGTGGTCCCCCCCAGTGGAGGAGGAACGTGTCTGCTGTGGAGCCCGGACTGTGATTCTGGAAGGAGCAGAACTGCTGACACTTCCTGTTATGTCGCATGGCAAAGAGGTCGACCATAGACAACCCCACGTCTGGAAGAGCGAAGCTGTGACATCTGGGCAAAGGGACCACTCGTGCCTGTGAAAAGTCCTGCTGAGGCGGTCCGCCAGCTCGTTCTGGAACCCTGGAAGGTACGATGCCTGCAGATCGACTAAGTGCTCTATACAAAAGTCCCATAACTGGAGGGCTTCCTGGCACAGGGGAGAGGAGCGTGCACCCCGTTAGTTGATACAGAACATTGCGGTCATATTGTCCATCATGACCGATACGCGTCGACCTGCTAGATATGGGCAGAATGACAGACATGCTAGGCGCACCGCCCTGAGCTCCCTGACATTGATATGAAGACTGCGATCTGTCTGTGACCAGAGGCCCTGAGTCCTGTGGTCCTCCAGATGAGCTCCCCACCCCAAATCTGATGCATCCGTCACTAGCGTTAGGGATGGTTGTGGGACAGCAAAGGGGACTCCTGAACACACCTGCTGAGCGTCCATCCAGCACAGGAGCAAGTTGAGGATGGGGCGAGGCAGGGTCACAATCCTGTCCACGCTATCCCTGGCAGGTCTGTACACTGACGCAAGCCACAACTGAAGCGGTCGAAGTCGGAGTCTGGCGTGCCGAAGCATGCACGTACAGTCTGCCATGTAGCCAAGAAGTTTGAGACAATTTCTCGCAGTGGTGGTGGGGAACTTCCTGAGTCCCTGTATCATGGTGTCGTGGGCCTGGAATCTCGCCCGTGGGAGGAACGCTTTGGCCTGGGTTGAGTCCAGAACCACCCCTATGAACTATATCCTCTGATGGGGGACAGAGTTGATTTCGCCTCGTTCAGTAGCAGGCCCAGATTCTCGAAGGTGTCTCT